AATTGTCCTTTTTCCCCCCGCCGGGTGGACCCTGCCCCCCCCCCCGCTGGCGCCACCCCTGCATGAAAAAACATTGTGTAAAAAGAAAGGAAAAACTATATGCAAGAAAAAGCAAATCAAAACAAAATGGCATTTCCGACGAGCCATGCTTTTCTTGACTGAATCATATTTAAAGACTGGGATTGTTGAATGACTGACATTGATTAATTGATGGATTGATTAACTGGTTGATCAATTATCTCAAGAACGGCCTTAGGTTAAATACTTACAATAAGAGAAATAGAATGATTGATATATTTATAGGGCTACCGTACCTGTTGTTCCAGAGGTGAATATATAACAAATTTCATCTTCTAAAGTGATTTCACTCCGGTAACTATTAGGAGCTGGTAATCCAGATGTAGACTGCAGTTGGTGTTCAATTGTTTCAATGCCACCTGGAAGGTCTTGTGTGACGTTGCCTCTCAACCAAACTCGAATGCCAAGCTCGCGCAGTTTGGGTAAAATCTCGATGATTTTTTCAATTAAATCGGTTTCTGATGGAAAAAAAGGTATTATTTACCAATCATCAAATTAGATACATTAGGGTACACCAGGGGATCAATCTAACAACTAAGGCCTGACCCCTGTTCCTTGAGAAACTGTTGATGACGACATACACTCATCATACAACAGGCCAGCGTGACTTAAATTGTGAGAGGTTCGTTTTAGTGGGAAGTGGACTCTTTGGCTTGTATGATCTCCGATACTCTGGAGAGCATTGTAAATATATCTAGGCCTACTAATATATCAATTTTTGTTTTAAATGCGGACCTTCTCCAGTTTTGGGCGTTCTTCGTAACCCCCTTAATCCCCCACGCTACGGGCCTGCAATTACGAGTGTAGTAGTGTACCGATCACTACATTGGGCCCTACTATCAATAATGCTTGGTCCGTAGTAGGCCTACAGTGCCAAAATCTGGCCCGCTTTAATGACGTTTATTGTTAAGGGTGTATTTACAATGCTTTTACAAAGGCATTGCTCAACGATTTGGGGGAAATTGAAGAATATGGGACCCCGTTGGTTGGTGGGGTGGGGGGAGGCGGAACTCTGGCTTTAACCAGTGAGAAGCTATAACTGTTATGTCACTCTTTCAAATATTCGTTAAACAACGCTAAAACATTATTTATTTCGAAATTACGTCCTAACTACGTAGGCCTACTTATGAATTAAAAAAAAAAAAAAAAAAATTGTTAGCTGGGGCATTTCTAAAGGTCGTATCAATCAAACGCCATACCTCCTGCGCATACTAGCACCTTTGATCCCGATACCTTTATGCAATGCAAAAGAGACTTTTCGCGAAGATTGTAATTTATAAACGCACAAGTCACGCCTGTCTTCTGTAATCCCAAGAACCACCAGCAATACGCTGGCTCGTTTTTCATAAAAAAAGCAACAGTGTCATGTTGATCAAGATATCCAATGCCTTTTACGAAATGTGCTACTTTGTTTGCCTCGAAATCAACTTCTTTGTATGTATAAACACTATTATGGAACAGAATGCATGGCTTGTATGGATTGCTATCAACGTTGTGCAGAAATAAATCAAGCACCGTCATGCCATTATCTTCGCAACATTGGAGCAACTTATATACTGTTAGGCCTCGACGTATCCATGTAAAGTCGTGCAACAGTGCACTGCCATACTTCCTTTGCAAGTAAACTGCAATAGCAGCTGTCCCACCAAGACCGATCAACTTAGCTTGCGATTTATCCATTACAATTAGAATTAGATTTGCCTATGAACAGTAGTTTCTCAAGCAATTCTTTCCCCGTGTTCCGATAACAATACAGTTAGTTAGTTAGTTAGTTAATCAATCAATCAATCAACTTTATTGACCTTATCAAAAACAAAATGATAGTCAAAACACAAACAAACATAAATTAAACAGAATAAAATACAACAACAAACAGTACGTCCAGGTACGTATAGTATGTCGACGTGACGTTTCATTGCATGATTGGTTAGGTCAAAGAATATAGATACTGTAGTTAGGTTTTTAGGTTAAAAGGTCAGCTCTTGAACGTATGGCCATATTCGATTGATCGTTTTTCGTTAAACCACGCTTCCCGGTTTTAATTTACTAGCCGAATGAAAATTATACTCAACAACGAAACATTATTGTCAACAAGTCGAATACGGCCATTCAGCGTGGATGCATCAATTTTGTTGTGTCATGGCATTATTACACAATCAGCGAGCACTATACTAGTGCATAGGCATAATACACAGGTCTGCGCTTGGTAGAGGTTTGGCCGTGAATCGAGAACATTAATAATAATAATAATATTTTTATTACCCCTGGTCACCGGATAACATGCACACTTTGCGCTGTTGGGAGAGGGCTGGGCGGGGATGCAGGATTTGCCGGTATGGGGTGCGTGCAAGGGCGCACATCTGTTTTGAAAGGTTGGGAGGGGGAATTTGGTGGAAATAGTACCTAGGCCTGCAACAACTAGATAGCCGGAAATGACACTTTCTATATAGTAAAATTCATCATTACTTTGCCATAGTCAAATAAAGCGCCAGTATATTCTCATAATCTTTTATCAGCGATTTTCGGTAACAACAGATATCTAATTAATATGTGTGATGTACCATAGAAAATAAAACATTAAAAACATTGTCTTTGGTGTATTTAATTTACCTACAAAGCCGTGAGTCCACAAAGCACCTCAGTCCCACCATGGTTTGGGCTGAGGTAAGAAAATTATTCAATGACCTACCTCAAAGCCGTGAGGCCACATCCACCTCACAGCCCACCATGGTTGCTGCTGAGGGAAGAAACAATTTGAGAAAATAGTACCTCTAGAGGGCCGGAAATAACACCTTTTAATAGTAAAATAATTCATCATCACGTCACCATTATATATAGTAAAAATGAAACGTCAACAAATTCTCAGTTATCAGCTATTTTCGACTACCATCTAATTAATATGTGTGATTTACGGTACCATAGAAAATACATTTAAAACATTGCCTTTGATGTATTTACTTTAAAACCGTGAGTCCACACCCATTTCAGCCCCACCTTATCATTGGAGCTGAGGTGGTAAAATTGGGGAAAGTACCTCAAATTGCCGGATATGACACTCGATGTAGCAAAATTCATCATCATCGATCTAATTAATAGTTGTGATGTACCATAGAAAATAAAACTAATTGTTTTTTATGTATTTACTTTACTTTATCTACTTCATGTGCCGGAAAACAATCTTATCTTTGCACTTCTCATTTTCAAAGTAAAGGCACGCGCACTCAGGTTGTGCAACTCAGATTTTAAATGTTTGTCGATACCGGTATGTTGCTGTTATAAAATAAGATCTACTCTGGCTGTGAGCGCTCTTTAAATCTGGGTCATTTATGAAGTTTATTTTCAGGCATCTTCTTGCATTGTGGACGGAAACTGAGGGGAACCAACTCCCCGTAAACATGTGTGGGGGAGGTGTGTCCCCTGCCCCTATGACCTGCGCCCATGGGTGCATAAGAGTCCATCGCCTCAGCCCCAACATTTTGAGAATATGGACCACTGGGTGCCCGGAAATTGCTCATACCTTAAAAATCTTACCAATCATGTCAACAATATAATACAATTATTTTTCTTAATACAATTTTAGGGAGGTGGGCTCGCACCGTCTGTACCCCGGCCTGCATCCGCCCAGGAGGGAGAGAGAGAAACGTAAATAAAATGCCTTGCCGAAGGACACAAGCGACTTGTACAGCGACAGTTTCGAACCCCTGACCTCAAGGTTGGGATTCCAAGCCACAACCGATTCAAAATTAAATGAAATTCATTTGTTACTCATATCATTCATATAATTCTTAACAATATAAAATATGAGTATCGGAAACTAAAGAAGCCAACCGATTCTACATTAAGACCTAGGCCTATAGCTGAATTACTGAAACCATGGTATAGAACAATATAAAGTAAATAACAGCAGCACTTTTGAGACTAACAATATAGAATTTATTCTCTAGCTTTCGTCCACACAGTGGACTTCATCAGGAAACTGTGAGTCATATCATTCAAATTACTAAGTGGAGAGCGCTAGCAGCAGTGGCAATAACAAATGGGCCAGAGGACCTATAGAAATATTTTACTTTTTCTTCAAATTACCTCCACCCAACCTATTGGATCCACCCCTTGCATCCTTACACAGCAAGTTTCTAGTGTTTTCTTGTAAATGCTGTTGTTCTAGAATCCCAACTGATACAATAGGCCTATCAAATTATTTGACACAACACTTTCATTTGAATTTGGTTTTTTTTTTCTCATAACACTCACCAATTACGGCATAAAAATTATTATCAAGTGGCCTGAGCCTTTTTATATCGAGTGGAATCGTTTTATGGGACCCTAGCAACAATATCCAAGGGGCGGGGCTTACCGCAAAAGTCCATTGAAAACAGGACCCTGGTATCACCATGGTAATTAGAAGGCCAGTATCTAAACCACTAAGCTATACAATTTCAATCTTTGTATATTCATATTTTCTTCGAATTTGCAGAATAGGAACGTGGTGGTCCTATTGTATAGTAAGTAGAAATGTAAATATTTATAATTTGATATACAGTATGTTAATAATAGGCCTATATACATTTATATATAACAGAATATAAGCTTATATACAAGCCTAAACATATGATTTATTATTATATGCATTTTAATGTCATTAAATTTTAGATAGATCAAATATTATTTTGGTAAGTTCATGATTTTTGAATCAGAAAGTGATCTGGGCTTGTTGATTGAACATGAATACATTTTGCTAGAGTTTACTACTGAGTTGTATCACAGATGAGAGCGAGACCTCGTTCAATATATCATACGTTTTCGACTCGTTATTTACTGTCTCTTATACACATCTATGTACCATAGAAAATAAAACATTAAAAACATTGTCTTTGGTGTATTTAATTTACCTACAAAGCCGTGAGTCCACAAAGCACCTCAGTCCCACCATGGTTTGGGCTGAGGTAAGAAAATTATTCAATGACCTACCTCAAAGCCGTGAGGCCACATCCACCTCACAGCCCACCATGGTTGCTGCTGAGGGAAGAAACAATTTGAGGAAATAGTACCTCTAGAGGGCCGGAAATAACACCTTTTAATAGTAAAATAATTCATCATCACGTCACCATTATATATAGTAAAAATGAAACGTCAACAAATTCTCAGTTATCAGCTATTTTCGACTACCATCTAATTAATATGTGTGATTTACGGTACCATAGAAAATACATTTAAAACATTGCCTTTGATGTATTTACTTTAAAACCGTGAGTGCCACACCCATCTCAGCCCCACCTTATCATTGGAGCTGAGGTGGTAAAATTGGGGAAAGTACCTCAAATTGCCGGATATTACTCCTGTAGTCTTTGTCAACGCTTGACATAAAATGAACATATTGAGAAACTATCTTAGCAATATACAATTTGAGAAACAATACGGTAATTAAGTCAAAGCAAGTCGGCATACGTCTATAAAGGATTCATGATAATTTACAAATAAACAGTGATAAGGGTGAACAATGAATGAGCAAGTGGTGGACTGTGGGAAAGCATTACTATAGTTAATGCATGGGGGAATTAATTCATCCATGGTTAATGGATAAGCTAAACATAAGGCATAACTAGAATCAAGAACATATATATATAAGCATATGTACAAGGTCTGTAATACGAAGTAACAAGGAACAAGGAACAATACCGTTTCTATCCCGAAATTTAAATAAAATGGAAGTCGCCCACATCACTTTCCAATTCACTCCCCTTATCCTTAGCGACCCGTCTCCATTCGCACAACACAAGTGACAGAGACGTATGGTGTGGAAGAGAATTAGGGCTGGCGCCGGGGGTCCTAGATATCAAAATGCATTTTACTCTCTGTATTTTTCTACAAAATAACAAACCTGAGGAAACCTCAATACACTTTCCATTCTTCCCTCTGATTGGTTCAGCAAGATCTACGTCACACTTGATCACATGGACACCTCCGCTCAGTAACTTTGAAAAAGGTAAAACTGCTGATATTGGAATAGTCAATTACTGTAAATGACTCTTTCTGTTAACTCCTCACAAAGAAATAATTGATTTCGATTTTTTTAAACCAATTCTTGTTAGTCACAAGTTTAAATTGTTGTATGACTATCTGGTGCTTGACATTTTTGTGATAATATATGTCGCCAGGTTGGGTTACTGATTTAGTATATTACGAATTTTAGTCTTATCGATCAAAATGTATATTTGACAGGGTACAATTTTAGCACGCATATTTGTACAACAAAAAACAAGGAAAATGGTAAAAAATGTCACTGCTGATGACTGTTAAGGGTAGCATGTAATAAAAAATTATATATATATATATATATATAGGCCTATACAATATATATATAATTATATATATACATATATGTAATATATATAATATAATAATATAATATAATAATAATAATGCAATAAAATAATATAATATATATAATATATATATATTATATATATACAGTATATATATACATATATATCTACTAGATATATATATATACACTAGATATATAAATAATATTGTTTACCACCAGATATTGCTGTTTTCTATGTATATGGAAGCATGCTATATTAATTTTTACACATATCTCTATCACAGCTGCCCACGTACTTTGTTTCTGTAAGAGATTTACCTTCATAAGTGGCGAAAGACGACCCACAGGACCGATTTTGCCGTCTAAATTTAAAAACATATGATTGCCTTCAGTAGCACCCCAAAATTCGTAGATGTGTTCAATGTTAAAGCGGGTCTTAAACTCCTCCCATATGTCAGGCCTAAGACCATTGCCACATGCTATACGAAGCTTCACTGGATACACGCCATCGTCTGGTTTCTAAAAGAAATTGACGATGATTAATGAAAGGAAACGAAAAGTTATTCTAACTGGATTTACCGATATTATGATGTTGCAGTACTATACATAAACTGTATTGTATTATTTTAAACATTATTCTTCTTCTATTCTAGTAACAGACCACCTGTCGATGACTTTCGTACAGTAGTGGATGAGGAAAGGGGGATGTGAGACACCGGGGTATCCCCTACTCGTCTTGAAAGATGTACTGGGTTCTTTATAGTTCACATGAGCCAATTATGTACACTGGGCCTACGGTTTATAGTCCTTATCCAAGAAGACTTGCTCCATCTCCAGAAATGCCTGACGGAAATAGGAAAAACAAAAAAAATTGCCTGAACCATCACAGGCGAGCGTGCTGTTCGTACAAGCGCCGATATAGGTTGCGTGACCCTCCCTTAACCGCTCGGCCATTCGACGGTTCTAACAAAGTGTGTATTTTCCCGGTTATTATTAATAGAAGTTGTCTACATTCTGTGACGTTTCTAACCTTTGGTTGGGCCAATAGGTAGCGACAAACTTCGCCGATATACTGGATAAAGGTGACGTGGTGCTTGCGAACATCTTCCCAAAACCGAGTAACAGAAAACTTACGACCAATCGCAAAAGTACATCCTGGGTAAAGTGTTAAAGAAATATTTATTGGTAATTTCAAAATGGAATTCAATACTAAATTATGCAAATTTAAAAAAGGGGGAATAAGGCATCTGCATTTATTTCAGGTAAATTACCTCGAAACTTCCATGAGACAAAATTTCGAAAAACTAAGTACATAAGCAGGAGCAAAGTAATATTACCAACTCTCATACAGTTGAGGAAACCGAGGCTGAAGGCAGCGCTATGATACAGTGGTAGAGAAGAATACAACACGTCATCTGGTCGAAGTCCGACGAAGTCAAAGACAAATGATGCTAGGTAGTTACTTCTATGAGTCTTCTTACAAGCCTTTGGCAATCCTTATGTTTGAATAAAAATATAACTTGGATAAATAACTAAAACAATTAGGAGATTTTAAATGGCAACTTCTTTAAACACTTCAAAGCCCTATTAAAGTTCACCTTTTTCAACAATATTTTTCTTAAATTCCCGGCATTTTTTTAAAATTTGTTAAGCACATTGAGGCTTTAGCATAATGCGCTATATCAATGGCTAACAATGGCTAATTATTATTATTATTATTATTATTATTATTATTATTATTATTATTATTATTATTATATTAATAGTTCCACTAGTTGACACAATGCCTATTATCATTTTACAGAATTATATTTTATTAATATATCATTTTAAAATTATTTCCCATAACATGGAGCTAATTTTATAGCGCATGTATTCTAGAAAGGTGTGAATTACCGGTACCTAGTATTCCTTTGCTATCGGAGCTGCCTGATGCCGGACGTTGTATTTACTTTTCAACTGTTATTTTTTTAAATACCTGTATATTATTTCTTGCTGAGTGGGTTAATAAAATTAATCAACTCTGTTGCCTTTGCGTTAGCTACATATGAATTTGGTTTCTCTTTGTTTTTCTTCAGCTTTTGCGTATGATGTAAGCCTCATGGGCTTTTTATTATTTGATTGATTGATTGGTTGATTGATCGATCGACTGATCAATCGATTGATTGATTGATTGATTGATTGATTGATTGATTGATTGATTGATTGATTGATGAGGGCTCTGTACCTGTGGTTCCCGATGTGAATATATAATAAGCTTGATCATCTAACGTGACTTCACTCCGGTAGCTTTTAGGAGCTGGTGATCCAGATGCAGACTGGAGTTGATGTTCAATTGGTTGAATGCCATCTGGAAGGTCTTGTATGACGTTGCCTCTCAACCATACTCGTATGCCAAGCTCACTCAATTCGGGTAAAATCTCAATGATCTCGCCAACTAAATCGGTTTCTGTTAAGTAATACGGTACCAGTGATATAAGTGTTTTTTCGCCAATACAGTAACCCTACCACGTAGGCTGGGCCAATTCAGTGCAGATACAAGGAAGGGGTGGGGGTTGCCGAAATTTAGACCCCGTCTCTTGTTTAGAAATCGTGGATTCGTACCTACTGATTATGGTGTTTAATATCACGTGACAATTAAAGAAGATACATTAAATTGGATAGGCCTAGGCCTAATATTGTACTAAGTTTTTTTTTGAAATCATACTACCGAACACCTGTCACACCCTAAATTATGACCCTTAATATGTGGAGAATCCACCGACTGGTTTCTATGCAAATACGCTGTTGCTGGTATTTATGTAACCCACCGACTGGGTTGTAAACAATGCCGTAGCCAGGATTTTCAAACAGTGCGGGACAATATCAGGTTGGACCCACTTTATGCGTAAATTCAAACAATGTGGACCCATTTTACGAAAAATATGAAAAATCTGGACCCATTTTCTTAAATTTTACCCATTTTAATCTAAATATGTGGCAAAGACAAGTAGACCGTGGGTTGAGGATCGAAAACGTTCAATTCTGTGACCACCAATCCGGGCTACCTGGCTTTTGCACAAAAATGTCAATACTAATAAATTGTAACATAATTTGATTGTCGGCAATCGTGAATTTGGGGAAACTGTAACCAAAAATGAGAATTTATATCAAAAGTTGCTACGTAACTATAGCCAATCAGAAGACAACTAACAAAAGTTTGGCTTAGCTGCAAGGCCCTCAGCCAATCACAAACTACCTTCTATGCCGTTTGTCCA